AAATTAGCAAGGTCCTGGTGTAGCATAAGCACTGGACTGACTTCTAGGCACAGGGTCAGCAATTCAAATCCATAGCTACTCCTTGGAAACCCTAAACAGGGTTGCTAGGAGGCAGAACCTACTCAGTGGCACTTAACAACATCCATAAGTTTAGTGGGAGACGTCGCTTTAAAAAACTAGAGTGAGAGAAAAGTATTACTACAGGGAGAATCCTGGGTAGATGCTTCAGGCATGCTCCCCTCTAAAAATTCTGAAAGCAGTAATAAGCCATGTTGTTGTTAAGTACCGTGGAGTCGTTTCCGACTCATAGTGACCCTGCACAGGGTTTCTGAGGCTGTAAATCTTTACGAGAGCAGAAAGCCTCATCTTTCTCCCACGGAACCGCTAGTAGTTTCGAGCTGCTGACCTTGAGGTTAGCAGCCCGATTCGTAACCACTAAACTACCAGAGCTCCTTGTAATAAGCTATACCTCAGATAAACGAATCGCATAATTCCCCTTTGTTTCTTATTCTACTGTTGTTGTTATTAAGTGCCGTCTAGTCAGTTTCAACCCACAAGGAGCTCTGGTAGCGTAGTGGTTACAAATCGGGCTGTGGACCTCAAGGTAGTTCGAAACTACCAGCTGTTTCGCGGGAGAAAGATGAGGCTTTCTGCTCCCGTAAAGATTTACAGCCTCAGAAACCCTGTACAGGGTGGCTACGAGTTGGAACAGACTCCACGGCACATAACAACACAACAACAAGAAGTCAGTTTCAACAGCAACCCTAGCTAGGATTTCCTAGGAGTGCCTGGTGGGTTTGAATTACCGATCTTGTGGCTCAAAACTGACCTTGTAGTGTATTCTCTACAGTACCACACCAGGACTCCATTTCTACTGTTAGGAAGAAGTCATTGTATTTGGAGGGTGGTGAATCAGTGGATAAAAGAGCTGCCTCCCTGTCTGCAGTCTTGGTTCCTCTTATAACCTGCTCTTATCTACTAGAGCCAGAAAAATGCTTGGAATCTACAGGTTTGATCATATCACTCTCCTTACATAAACTCTTCCTGACTCTCTTACTCTCAGTATAATGGCTTTTATAGGGCATAGGAGTAATAAAGTTATCTGGCCCCTGTCTGTCACTTCTAACTTCTGCCACTCTTTGCCCCCTACTTCTACAAGCTTCTGTTTCTGGAGCCAGTTCTTCTGCCTGGAACACATGTTTATACTCTCTCTAACTAGATAACTCTTACTTGTTTTTTCAGCTGTCAAAATAAATGTTTCTTTTCCAGGAAATCTTCCCTGACTCTGCCACCATCTGGCATGTTTGTGGGTGGTGGGGGGTATATTTATAGACATATATATACAAATACACAGAGGTGCCCAGGTGGCACAATTGATTTGCATTCATTTACTAACCCAAAGATAACCTAAAAATTACTCACTTAACGGAGCCACCAAATAAATGGCCTAGCAATCTGCTTCCACAAAGAATACAGCCAGAAAAACCCTATGGAGCAGTTCTACTCTGTAACACATGGACTCAGAATAAACTCAGTGACAACAGTCTTAGTTTGGTTTACACATACACACACATACATGCATAAACATACACAAACCTACACTCTTCTCAGTACCGTTAAGAGAATACGTTAGGGATGTCTTTCCCCTTTACTTTAAAGATTTAGGATGGTGTGATAGTTAAAGTTTTGTGTCAACTTGGCTGGGTCTGGAGTCTCAGTGGTTTGGCAGTTAAGACTTAGATGTGGTGCTGCAGATTAATGTGCTGGACTGCAAGGTCAATTTGAGCATCAAGTTCGGCAGTTCAAGCTCACCAGCCGCTCCTCAGAAACTCTTTGCAGGGTCGCTATGGGTCAGAATTAACTCGACATTGCTTAATAACAACAACAATCCTTCAGGATGTTATCTAATATAATATAATCATACAATGATATAATCTGATGTGATTAGCTCTGATCTGATGTAATTATTCCATATGTTGTAAATTCTCACTTCTATGATATTAATAAAGCTAAATGCAATCTACACAATTAGTTTATATCTTGAATCAATCTCTTTTGAGATACAAAGGAGAGAGAAGTGAGCAGAGAAACAGGGACCCACTACCACTAGGAAAGGTGAGCCAGGAGTAGCATGAGTGTTTTGGATCTGAGGCCCCTGCAGTCTGAAGCTCCTAGATCCAGGGGAAGATTGATGAAAAGACATATGGAGATCTCTGAGGAGTATTAGATCTACAGATGCTGAAAGGAGACAAGGACCTTTCCCCAGAATTGAGGAAGAGAAGGCTTCCCCTAAAGCAGCACTCTGAATTTGGACTTGTAGCCTCCTAAACTTTGAAAGACTAGATTTCTGGTTGTTAAAGCTACCTACTTGTGATAGTTCTGTTATAGCAGCACCAGATAACTAAGACAGATGGACTTCTAAGAACAAAGATATTCTCTTATATAACCCACCAAACCCAAACCCAGAGCTTCCATTTAGTAGTTTCTGACTCATGGAAACCTTATAGGACAAAATAGAACTGCCCCCATAAGATTTCCAAAGCTGTAAATCTTTACATCAGACTGACACCAATGGAGCTATTGGTGAGTTTGAACCACCAACTGTTATTTAGCAGCCAAGCTATATAACTACAGAGTCACCAGGGCTTGTTACAGTCTTTTATAATCACCATGTAATTCTCAAATTAAAAAAAAAAAAAAATCATAAAGTACTATTGCCTAATCCACATTGGTATTTAAATTTCATCAGTGGTCTAACAGTGTCTTTTATACCAATCCAAGATCACACATTACATTTCGTTGTTGTATCTATTTAGTTTTCTTTAATCAGAAGCCAGTCTTTGATCTGTGAAGAGCACAGGCCATTTGTTTTGCAGAACAGTCCAAATTTTAGTTTTCTGGTGTTTTTTTTTTTTTTCATGATTCCAGAAACAGAAGTAATGTCATGTTCTTGGTACATGATATCAGTGGGCACAAGATGAGTACTTTCTCAAAAAATCAGTGGTGTTTGCTTTGATCTCCCAGTAAAGGTGGTGTCTGCCAGGTTTTTCCACTACAAAATGATTTTTTTCATTATTATAATTAGTAATTTATGTAATAATATTTTTGAGCTATAAAAATCCAGTTTCTCATCAAACTTTCACCCACTAGTTTAGAATCAGTTCTACATCTGTTTCATTTTTAAGATAGTTTATCTTATATTGTTTTTTAAAAAGAATATGAGAAGGTATAATTATGATAAATGGACTCTCTAAACTATCCAACATAAAACACCTGCCTCTCCAATCTCTTCGTTTATACAGATTTTATCATCAGAATTGAGAGAAGTCTGATATGTATGACAGTAGACAAGGCAAGATTTCTCATTTGCATTTTCAACTCTATTCATGAATTATCTTTTCATTTCCTTTTTCCTTTGCAATACAAAATAATCTATTAAAGGGGCATATTTTTCATAATAATGAAGAAGATATAGAATATCATTTCTGGCTTGCCAAATGTCATAATATTGCTTTTGGTCATATCATGATGGGCACTAGTAATTGCATATGCTTTTCATGCTTGCTAAAAAGGGATCACTTAAGGCTCTGAAGAGTTTCCTGCAGCCTTGGTGTTATAGATTGAAAATCATTTGGATTGATTTAAAGCATGAGGAGAATTATGATGAAGGTCAGATCATATGGGCATCAGAAAGGTGAAACATTATTACCATTTAAACTAGAAATGGGTCTCTTTTTTAAATGGATCATATTCACATGACAGAAAGGGTTGTTCACTGTAAGATAATAGTAATACATGACATCACTCAGCCATTTATTCCAAAGAAAATCTTCTTGAGTCTACTAAGTGAGAAATGACTTTCTATATACAGACAACTTCTAACTTCTCATTGGAAATTCTTGAGTAATAACTTCTTGAGTTTTTAACAAAATTTGACCAAAAGGAACCTTGAGGGTTTGATTGTAGATTCTATAAGAGGAGCATAGAAACTCAAATATCATATATAAAGCAGAATTTTTTTTGCCAGCTAGGGAGATCATCTCTTTGGCCATGCACTCACTTTCAGAAATCACTAAATGGGCTGGGTTGAGAGGAAGTGATCTTCTTCCAGGCAAGTGGGTCATAAAAAGTCAGCAGATGATTCACGGAATGGAGTCAGGATAGCACAGTCACCTCTGACCCACGTCTTAGATAAGAGCTTGCCTGTTCTTTTCCACCTGTCACTCTCATTTGAGTTTCTCTCAGTACAATCAGTATCTGAAAATGACAGAGTTCAGAAAACGTAAAGAATAAATATGGTGGTGGTGGTGTGCTGTGAAGTCGGTTCTGATTCATAGGATTCTGCACAGGGCTTCTGAGGCTATAAATCCTTATGGAAGCAGAAAGACTCATCTTTCTCACACAGAATGACTGCTAGGTTTGAACTGCTGACCTTGAAGTTAGCAGCCCCACTTATAACTACTATGTTACCAGATCTCCTTAGGAATAAGTATATTTCCCCTTTATTTTAAAGACATGTTTTAATGTACTTTTTATATACTATCCAATTTATTTCTCACCAAAAAAAAATGCTATTTGAAAAAAAGAAAATTTTAAAAAAAGCAAACTAAGAATAGTTTTCCTTGTTTCATGGTAAAGAACCTGGAAGTCAGTCAGGTGAAGGAGCAGTTCAGCATAGCGATAAACTAAAGTTAGAAATCTAGCCCACCAGATCATACTTTTGTTTTTCCCGATAGCCCTGTGTCTACAATACACATCTACAACCCCATTAAATGCTTTTGTGAACTCATCACAGGGTTTATTGTACGTTATTTACATGATTATTTGTTGATGTCTTTCACCCTAGAGCATGTAAAGCATAGGAACTGGGTTTATTTTTCTCACATTGTACCCCACTATCTACATTGGATTGAGGCATGGGCAAGTGGGTAGGCCAATATGCCACCTTGTTCTCCTGACCATAGGCACTTAATGGTCTTTTGTCTCACCTTAGCCTACTGCCAGAAATGGCCCTCTCTGTGGATTCATCCTGGCTCCGATGGCAATGGCGAGTCAAAGATGGCTTCCCCAGGCCTCCATCAGAAACCACACCACTGCTCTCTACAGAGAGGCCAAGACTGAGCTACAACCTGAAGCAGCAGCGGGTTGTGTTCCCCAACAACAGGATATTCCACCAGGATTGGGGAAAGGTCTCCAGGAAATACTCAGACAACAGAATCTGCACAACGAAATATACCCTCTTCACCTTTCTGCCCCAGAATCTCTTTGAGCAGTTTCACAGGTATACAACCACTTGACCCAAACACTTTAAATAAGTACCTGCCACTCAGACAAACTTGGAACTCCTTCCCTCTGGGGCCACCTTTGCTTTCATAGCCAAGTGAAATAGTATAGGTGTTCATCCAGGCAACTTGAAAAGTTTGTGCCATTTATTCATTCTTCAATAAGCAAATACTGGGTTCTACTTTGTATCGTGCCATGTGTTGAATGCTAGAGATGCAAGAATGCAGAAAGATAGAAACACTGTCCTTGCTGTCTAGTGAAAGAAAGAGACATTACTTTTTTTAAATCATAATAATTGATGGAAAGGAATAACTCAGCTAACTACTTCAAAGGAGAGGTGATGGTGCCATTAGAGGGAATAATAGAGAAATCTAGCTTGGTTAAGGGAAGCAAGAACAACTTCTCTGTAGAATGAATAATTAAGGTCTGATCTGAAAAACAAAAGCACATTTACTAGGTGAAAATGTTTCTGCAAGTCAACCTGAGTGTGCAATATCACTGTGGCAAGAAGAAGCAAGATGCACTTGGAAAACTCAAAAACACAAGCCATTCTCCTGGTATTGTGCTGTGGGATAAAGCACTAGACCACAAGGTCAGATTGAGCCACAAGGTTAGCAGTTCAAAGTCACCAGCCGTTCCTTGGAAACCTATACACAATCGCTATCACTATGAGTCAGAACCAACTTGATAGCACTTAACAACAACAACAAAGCAAATTATATGCTTTGATAAGATCCAAAATTTTGCAGTTATTATGAGCTACCATTTACCATGCAACTTCTGTATTCTAGGCCCGATACTGTGCACTTGAAAAACATTATGCTGTGAAATATGTTTAAAAGCCCTTTAAAGTAGGTAGTGTTGTTGTCATTAAGTACCTTTGAGACAGTTCCAACTCATAGCAACCCTGTATAGGGTTTCTGAGGAACGGCTGGCTGGTTTGAACCACCAACCTTGTGGTTAGCAGTCCAGTGCTTATCCTACAGTGCCACACCAGGACTTCAAAGTAGGTAGGACTATCCCCATTTTACACAAAAGGAAACTGAGACTCAGAATGATCATACAACTAGTAAACAGTAGGGTCAGAGTTTGCATTTCAATCTCAATTTGGCTTCAAAAGCCCTACTGTAATGTTCTAAGTAATGTCATTTTAGTTGGTAAGAGCCAATGTTTAGAAAGACAGTGTTGTTGTTGTTGTTAAGTGATATCAAGTTGGTTCTGACCCATGGCGACCCTATATAGGGTTTCCGAGGAGCAACTGGTGAGCTTGAACTGCCAACCTTACAGTTCAAATGGCTTTGCAGTTTGGTGCATTAATCCACAGCGCCACACCAGGACCCCAGAAAGAAAGTGTAGCTAGTGTATTTTCCTTCTCCCTCTGTGGCTTGTACTCACACTTTGCCCCTTTCAGATGGGCTAACCTCTATTTCCTGTTCCTGGTGATTCTGAACTGGATACCGTCCATGGAAGTCTTCCACAGAGAAATCACCATGTTACCATTGGCCATTGTCCTGTTCATCATCATGGTCAAGGACGGCATGGAGGATTTCAAGAGATACCTCTTTGATAGAGAGATAAATGGTTCCAACATCCAAATATATGAAAGGTAAGGGAAATCATACCTGTTTTCTCTCTTAAAAAATCGTTATTCAAACTCATAAGAATGTGAAAGGATTGACCTCTATTCTCACATTCCAAACCAAACTAGTCATTGATCATCTAGTTTATGCTAAGGAAGAACTGTACTTCAGACAGTTTTGATGATTGCTTTTTCAGATGTAGATCACTAGGACTTTCTTTTGAGGCAACTCTGGGTAGACTTGTACCTCCAAACTTTCAGTGATCAAGTAAGTGCATTAGCTATTTGTACCACCCAGAGAATTGCCCCTTTAACACAGTGACATTTTTAGTCATCATGCTAGGAGAGAGTAATACCAGCACATAGTGTATAAGGGCCAGAGGTGATGCTAAATACCTTACAAGGCACAGAAGAACTCCATACAATAACTAATTATCCGGTCCAAAATGTCATGATTTAGACACTTTGTATAAACACTCATTAAGCTCAAGGAGATAATATTAGTAACAGAAAGTTAACACTATGACTGGATCTCAGGAGACTGAATTCAAGATCAATGTTTTGGAGGGTACCACGTAATATCTGTGAAAGAAGAAAATGTATACCGTGCTTAAAGGATCTGAGGTTCTTGGCTTAAAACTCTTGCTTTTAGATGTAACCAGGTAGGTTTTAGGACCCAGAGTTAGCGCGCCTGCTCTCAACTGCCTGGGTGGAAAAGGAAGATACCTGTGAGTGACGTCTACATTCCAACAGGTGGAGTGCTCAAACAAGGAGAAGGAAGTGGCCTGGCAAGGTGCACACCTGTTCTCTGCAGGTTCTTTCCTTGTCATTTCTCCCTTGGTGTTTATACGCCAGCTTTTTATTTTTCATTTTCCTTTGAAAGAAGACAGCATTTTCAGCAGAGAAGACCAGTGAAAGATGTCAAAGACAAGACTGGCTGGCAGCTAAACAATGGAACTAGTCAGGGGAAAAACTCCTTTACTGGGAATTCAAGTTCCATGCTATGGGAATTGAAGAGAGAGGATTGAGCAGAGATGAGAAAGGAAGGAAGAAAAAAGCACAAAAGGAAAGAAGACAAAAAACGAGTGGTGGTTTCCAATCTACCCTTTGAAGGATGGTCTCACAAAAAGAACCCCAACAGGCATTATTGTGGGAATCGAATTAAGACCAGCAAGTACACCTTATTGTCCTTTCTTCCCAAGAACATCTTTGAGCAGCTCCACCGGTTTGCCAATTTCTACTTTGTGGCTCTTGTAGTTTTGAATTTTGTTCCTGTGGTTAATGCATTCCAGCCTGAGGTGAGCATGATTCCAATCTGTATCATTCTGGGGACGACTGCCATCAAGGATGCTTGGGAAGACCTCTGGAGGTTCAAATCTGATAAACTGATCAATAATCGAGAGTGCTTCACTTACAGCAGGTAAAGCCAAATAATACTAAAACCCAGGCAAGTCTTTGATCTTTCTTTGATTGCTAACACAGCTGCTGTTGTTTACGGAAGGGACTGGGTTGGGGGAGTTATTTTAGTGAAGTTGTTCAGTAACCTCCAATGAGGATTAAAATTTTTAAATTAAAAAGAGGCTTGTGTCAGTTGTTTAAAATGACTGTTGCTGTTGTTAAGTGTTGTCGAGTCACAGAAACCCTGAGATGGCTTTCCGAGGAGTAACGACCTTGCGGTTAGCAGTCCAGTACTTATCCTTGTTGTTGTTACCATAAAGTGCCACACTGGCAGTGTCGACTCATAGCGACCCTGTATAGGGTTTCTAAGGCTTTAATTCTTCTTGAGGGAGCTGAAAACCCCATCTGTCTCCCACAGAGCAGCTCATGGACTTAAACCACCAATCTTGTGGTTCGAAGTCCAGTGCTTATTCTACAGAGCCACCGTGCTCCCTACAGCACAACAGTTAGGAGATCTTTATTATATGGTATTTATTTCAGATTTGTTCAACATTTAAGAATTCTGCATAAATTCTCATCTCTGAGTGGCCATGAGCTAATCTGAGCATGCTTGGGGCTCTCAGAGGAAACATCATTACTGTTGTTCAGGGGAGCAGTACACATTGTGTTAGGAGAGTCAACATTGGAGGCACACTGGTTGGGTTGAATCTTGTCTCCAACTCTCATTAACCACATGACTTTAGACAAGCGACCTAACCTCTGTGAGCCTCACTTTGTTACTAAACAAACTGGAACATCCCCTGGGGCGGTTGTGAGAATTGCATGAGATAATCTATGGAAAATGTTTAGCACTTGGCCTGCTATCTTAAATTCTCAATAAATGCAAGCTCTTGATTCCCTGAGTGTTGCAAGCAGTTACCACTCGCTGCTAACCAAAATGTTGAGGGTTCTAGTTAACCCATAGGCATCTTGAAAGAAAGACCTAGTGATCTACTTTTAAAAAATCAGCCATTGAAAACCCTGCGGAACACAGTTCTACTCTGACACACATGGGTCCACCATGAGTTACAACCAACAATGACAGCCCTTTCTTGTTTATTTTATCTTATCCTCTGTTGCTTTGTTTATATAAAGGAAAACTCATATTAGCTCTATCATCATATCTGTCTTTGAGCTTCGTCTCTGACTCTATCCCAATCAAAGCGAAATCTGCACACATGTCTTGTCACATTATCCAATGTCATTTTATACATGTTGTTTTATGAAAGTTCCATTGAACAAATGACCAAATTGGGTCATTAGAGAAAGGGCATACTTTTGTTCAATAAATGAGAAAGACAGAATTATAGTGTGTCTCAACTTTTGTGACACGTAGTGGAGCCACAAGAGAAGCATGAGAGCTAAATCTGGACTTACAAAGTAAAGGCTACTGTGACAAAAACTATTTTCTGGGTTAGCAGTTAGCAGCCTCCGATGATTGACTCACAGTAGATAAGGCTTGACTCCTTGCCAAGTAATGAAACTCTCAAGGAGCACCGTAGGCCTGGCTTACTCCCTTAGACTTTATCTACTCCAGTTCTACAGACGTTCTCTATGTGCTCTGGTCATTGTTTAAATGAAAGGGGCTCACTTTGTGTGATGAACACCAGCCCATTAGGGACCACTTACTTCTACTGGGGAGTCTCTGAGCAGTGCAAGTTCTTACTGTGCTCAGTTTGGAGGTTTACCTCCAAAGAAAGTCCTGGCGATCTACTTCTGAAAAATCAGCCATTGAAAGTCCTATGGAGCACAGTTCTACTCTGACACACGTGGGGTTGCTATGAGGGAAAGTCGACTTAGTGACAACTTTGTTTTGTTTCTTAGGAACAGAAACTGATCAACTAGAGGTTTTAAGATCCAAAGTCCACTGAGAAAGTTGTAGCCAGGGAAAGGTTCCAAGGTGACTAACACAAGAGATTTGTTGCCGGAGTACCCTTAAGATAAGCCCAAGGCCTGTTCCTGGGTGTCAGATAGACTTCCAGCCTCTCTTCTTGGAGAGCAACAATTGTGCCTCTAAAAGAATAAATTATAGGCTTTGGGATGGTTGTGTGTCTGTGTGTGTGCTTGGTTTGTTTTTTGGAATATTTTGGGGTTTTAGCTAGTTTTAATTGTCCCTGGGTGGTACAAATAGTTAACATGCTCACTTGCTGAGAGGTTGCCATTCAAGTCCACCAAGAGGTGGCTTGGAAAAACTATCTGGTGATCTACATTTTTTAAATCAGCTATTGGAAACCCTATGGAGCACAGTTCTACTCTGGCACACATGGGGTTGTCATGAGTCGGCAACTGGTAATTGCCTTGAATGTCGCAGGCTCACTTAAGCACCTCAAGGTGAGATTTTGTCATCTTTCATCTTTGGAAAATGAAATTATAAACAGAGGAAGAAGAACTGGTGAGTTCTGAGGCTTTCTTTAAAGAGGTTGTTTTTTCTTTTGAGACTAATCCACCCCATCACTTTCTATTTTTCACCTTTTTCTTTTTTTTTTTTTCTTTAATAGATGATGTGCATTGGTGAGCCAGGAACGGGTTCCTTGAGAAGGCATGCATATAGGCTGACATGAGTCTGGTCTTGCTCACCCTTATCTGCCAGAAATACTCTGTTCCAAGCATCCCCAAATAATAGGCCCATTCCTAGGGATAATCTCAGTGTTGACCAGACCATGGACTCCACCTATGCTGGGTCTTGTCCTGATTTAAGCCAGACTGTTGGTCTGTTCTTTACAAAGTTGCCATGGGACATTTGAAAAGCAAGAAGATAATGATCTTAGAAAAAGGAGTTATTAGTCGGAAAGAGCATAGGGAGCATTTCCCAAAGTGTATTCAAAAAGATAAATCTGTTGCTCTGAATTTGATTCCAACTCATGCAATCAGTCTTACATGTGTCTGAGTAGAGCTTCATTCCTTAGGACTTCCAATGACTATAATCTGAAGGAAGTAGATTGCCAGCCCTTTCTTCCACAGTGCCACTGGATGGACTAGAAGTGACAAGCTTTTGGTTAAAAGTCATGTGTAAACCAGCTGTGCTATCCAGGGACCTTGATGACAGAGAGATGATCTCTTTTTTAAGAAAGGATCTTGGCTTTAAAATGCTATCTGGCTCTCCTGACACCTGGCATGTGCAGGACTTCTTTTATTAACTCAGAGTGGTTTCAAGTTTACTGGATTTTGGAAATAATTTTTGAATGCTTACTAGCATTTTTTGTTTGGAGAATTTTACTTTTTCAAATGTAACTATAGGGGCCAGACAGATAATTAAACGAAATAGGCAAACTGATAAGTGGCAATGGGCACTTGGGCCTTAATGTTGGGGTGCTGTGACAAGACTGTGGAGAACTAAGGAGCTTATGCCTTCACCCTAGAAGGCAGATCTGGCCACTCGGCTCCAGTTTGTTGTTATCTTGTAGAAATATATGCCTAGTATTACCATACTGGGAGTCCTGGTGTGGCGCTGCAGGATAATGTGCTGGACTGCAAGCTTGGTTTGAACTGCAAGGCTGGCGGTTCAAACTCAGCACAGCCACTCCTTGGAAACCATTTGCAGTGTTGCTATGAGCTGGACCAAATTGACAACATTAAAAACAACAACAGGT